ATGGAAGACAATGGAGGACGAACCGGCCGCGAGAAGGGATTAACCACCAGCCGACTTTATCATAGTTAACTCCCCCAATGAATTTACTCCCCCATTGAATTCGAGAACCGAAGTAATTGCAACCATGTTCCACCGATTAAAAATCGGAACGATATCTTGGTTACTTAATCTATTTCTCTTCGACCTGATTTTTCACACCGTTGCAGCAAAGATTATCGATCGATTTTAACTAACTGAACCGGTCCGTCGAGAGGAGGCAAGGAAGAGGAAATGCCGGAAGAGGAAAATTGATCGATGGATTGGGAAAGGACGGTTGTGGGTGGTCTTTAACGCCATTTTGGTTCAAGGACAAGCGCAGCGTCTTGCCGCAATTAATGGCTTCCCTTGCAGAGATTCCCCTCGCCTTAGAGTATTTCGATGTTCCACGAAACGCGGAGACGGCAGAGGGGCGGTCGCCCTTGATTTACGTGGGATCGCATTAAACGGTTCTTTGATGCTCCCTTACCTCGCTGAGTGGTCGATAACTCGATTTGCTCGTCCACTTTGGAACTTGGCCACGACTTCCTTCCATCCTCCGAGCTTCCACGGATCCTTTCTTCTCCCGTTTCTAACAACTTGCTACTCCCGCCATCCTCTTTTTCCACCCTCCCCACGCGATTTGTGGGGAGTATAAGAAAGTATATATATATATATATATATAAGCTTTGCCATCGAGTAGCCAGGTCGTATTTTTTCGTCTCCACGATCCCGATCCCGTGCAACGTGGGAAACGGCGATAATGGCGATATATAAACGGCGAAGAAGACAAACGTACGATGTTTCGATGTAACGCGGCGGGGTGGGAAAAGTTTTTATTGCGGTCTGTTGCGACGCGAAACGCGAAACTTGGCAGAGGTAAGAAAAAGCGACGACGATGACGCGCTTTAAATTGTCTTGCGTTGGCGGTCTTGAATCGGTGGTTGAAGGTAACGAGACAGGAAGAGGGAAGTAACGAGCGAGTATCGAGACAACAGCGTCGTCTTGTTGCGTCTTGTGGCTTCCCTCTTACTCCTCCAACGAGTTCGTCCAAGGATCTTTCGAAACTTTATTCGTTCCCAACGATTTCTCCCTCTTGCTTACCTTTCCTGCGAGTTCCCTCTTATTCGTTATTCGCTCCTCCTCGAGTTATCGAGGATCTCGTCGATCGAAGGATCGATACGAGCAGCGTCAACGATCGCGCCAATAATTTTTCGAATTGGACCACCGTTTATAGAGAGAGAGGGGAGGACGGTTATTCGGATTAATTAGAAAGGAAGTTGCGTCGTTTGGACCCGCCCTCTTCTCGAGGGAGATGAAGCGTACCCGTTTAACGAACTGCTGTTCCCACACCTGAGTTCTTCGTTATATATCCGAACCTCGAAGAAGTTCGATCGCACGGCGAACGCTTATTCGGTCTCCAACCGACTGTGATCTCATTAACGTGGCTGAGTGGCTCCACCTGCTTAAAAGTGTCCCACATTTCATAATGATGAACCGGTGTAACCGCGTTATCGTGTTCACGACCGAGCAATTAAAACGGTTTCATCCGTGCAATTAGGACGGATCCTTCCGATCCCCCGGGTACACCGGAAGGGCTACTTGGCCCGTTTGCGCTCCTCCCTCTTCCCCTTCTCTTCCCACCCCCCTACGGAGAGAATCGCCGGAGAGAAGAAAGAATCAAAGAAGAGGAGGAGGGTATCGCGCGTTATATATAGCGGTGCCGATCCATTGACTCGATTTTCGCCCCAGTTTCCTCACCCCCTATTCCTATTCGCGCAACTGAATACCAGCGAAATCTTTAGTTTACAGTCGACCGATCTTCTCCCAACAAAAAACCCGAGGGGACGATTCTCGGTGTATCTCATCGCGCCGGGATAACTTTTCCATTCCGGATCTGGTGCTTTATTCGAATGTGCTGTATCCTCCCGTAATGATTTAGCAACGTAAGATATCGATAAAATACCAGGGGACTGGATTACGTGTAGTATTCGCTGTGTTCGAGATTCCACTCGATGATGTTAAGCTGATAGAATCAGAAGCTGAGAGAATCAGAAAGTATACGGGATCGAGATGCGTTCGAACATCGTCGATATGTTTCTCCAAATTTACTTCGTCTGGAGATGATCTGTGAACGAGCGTGAAATTTGTACGATGTTCGTATGGAACAAATAAGCTGTGCGTTCGGTAACCCATGCATCCCATCCTCTCGAGATTAACCGTGCGTTTTCCGAAATGGGATCGATGTAAATTCGAGGCGGCACCGCGGATGCACAGAGGATTCCAATTCCGACCGTGCGTCGGCCGTTATCCGAGCGATCTTTTCACTCGATTCGTCCATCGAATCGCGGTCGGATGGATCTCCCGTCTTTCGCGCGAATCTCTCGTGTTTGCGCATCGCGACACGGAGGAGAAGTTCGAATCGTTCCAATTAAAGTTTCGAACCCCGAAATTGGAACATTGACCTTTGCTCCGCTCGACGAGATCCTCCAAAAGTTTCCACGAATCGTCGCCGTGTGTCGAGAACTTTCTAACGAGAGTCTCTTCCTCTCTCTCTCTCTCGATAAGAAACGTAAGAAATGGAAAACGATGAGGCGAGAAGTGAGAACAGTGCTTGAAATAACAACGATTGCTCTCTTGAATTCGAAATGGACGGGGAGAGAAAGAGAAGAGATTTAGCTCGCGATTCAACGGCCGCTTAACGTTGGACGATTTATGCGACTCGAGAATTGCGCCAGTTTACCAGCGAGACTTCCCAAATCCCTACCAGATCCAATATCGATGTTCGGATAATTGGGTGTTGTAATTTGCGCAAGGCGCTTAATATATCGTAATCACTTCACGATCAATGGAGTGGCAGGTGTGGCGTACCGCTGGTTCAGCGAACAGTTAGGATCCACCTTGCGCGCCATCCCAATTCCATCCTTTCCTTTGCCTTTTCCAAGTATTCTCTTCACAATTCTCCATCCGTCCAATCTATCCGCTTCGAGAAACGAAATCTGGCAGTCGTGTCGCGCCGCTAGAAATTACGTATTCCGGTGTACAGTTCTCAGGAATATTCGTGTCGTTTAAGCGGTAACGAAATTGGAGATCGTTTCCTTTTATCACCCCCCATTCTATAATCTCTTGGCGAGGGAGGGCGTTAATAGGAGATAATTTCTAGCTTAGTTTCCTTATCTAACGGTGGGTGGACGAGGAATCGCGGCGGTGTCCGTGAAAAGAATATTATTATCGCGAAAACGTATTCGCCCCGCGTCTTCTATAACGCGTTGTACACGCGTGATATATCGCGAAGCGTAATCCATGACGAACCGCCTCCATGTAAATCCGAGAATCCAATACGGGGATGTTGCACGTTAAACGGGCAGAAAGGAAATAAGGCACGCATCGGTGTTCGGTAGCGCGATATCCGGCTGCGCGTGATTTACAAGCGGTTCAATATGAATTTATTCACCACGGCTCGCGAGCAACTCGCTTTATAAATGATTTATAACGTTTCGTATTTATTTTATCCCGAGGAGGGCGGGCAGGAATTTTACGATTCCGCGATTCGAGGAGAGGCGCGGGACGAGCCTATCGTTTCCAAAACTCGGCCGAGGACCAGAAATCGCGGCGGATACTATTTCGGTACACGAGAAGAAGATTCGGCGTGTACCGACGGTCCGAGCCTCGCCGACCCTGACTCAATTTCGAACACGACCCAGCTGCCCTCGTTTGCCCGATCCAACGCCGCATTTCGAACGACCGTTTCTCGAACGCGAATAATCTTTCTCTCTCTCTCTTTATCCTATCCGAATTATCACGAATGGAAAGAAGAAACAACGCCCTCGCTTCGTGATTCTTAACGGAATCGTAAATATAAATAGAAAGCGTTCTTTAGGGAACTTTGAGAAAAACAAAAAAAAGGGGAGGGAGGGGGCGACGAACGTTCGAAAAAATATTCAAAAGAATCTTTAGCGTGTTGCGCTACGACGTTAGCGTAGCGTTCACGACGAGAGAAATATTTTCGCGAAAATGGATACATCGAGTATATATATATATATATTCCAAGATTTATCGATTCGTTATCGAAACTTGGACCCCTCTCCTCCCCCCTTTCTGTCCATGATTTATTATTCCGACCCGCATTCGCCGCTGGATCGTTTTACGCAATTACTCTTCCCACGTTGGTCGGAAAAATGGGAAAAGGGTGGAAGAAGGAGGGCGGCATATCGCGTCGAAAAGCCGGGTTAAAAGTGGCGCGGCGGTTGTTTGCCCGTCGCGAATCGTAATGCATTTCCTTTACGAGCGATCGGTCGCGACGATACAGACCGCGTCTAGTGGCCGACGCTATTAATTCTCGTAGCGGCGCTAGTTCTCTCCCTCCTCCCCCGCCCATCCAGGCAACGTTTATTACGAATTCGGTGTTTCGTTCGATTCGACGACGTTCGATCGAATTGAAAGGGATGGGAAAAAGAAAGGAAGGAAGAAAGAAAGGAAGAGAAAAAAAAAGAATCGAAGCGCTTCTTCTTCCCTCGACTGCATCGACGACGAGAGGGAGGGAGGAAATTTAGTCTCTCTCCTCGTCGGGCGAGGGAAACCACCAGAGTGTATCAATCACAGCCGTGTTGGTCCTCCGCCTCTCCCATTTTCCAAGTTTGCTCCGTAACCGGGGGTGTGTCGGCCGCCACGACCGACTTATACACGCGAAACGAGCGAATTGTCAAGCAGCCCAACTTCGACAGTTAAGTCGAGACCAAGACTCGAGTTAATCCCTCGAGTTAGAGCGATAAACGGGGGAGTCGATCCTCTAACGTTTCATCCGTTTCGTGTAACGTGACGCGTAGACGTGCCACTCGATACACGAGAATAAATCGGGAATAATCGAGGGCGGAGAATAAGTTCATGCCTCGTAAATGTCGAAATTTTATGTCGGTGTAACACGTTCGATTTTTCGTGTCGAATCGAGTCGGATGACGGGCGAAGAAGGGAACGTGTTTACTCACCTTTCAATACCTTGGTGCAGTCGGTAAGGTTGGGGTAGTTGTCCGGGTAGTTGGGGCTGTAAAATTCCCGTTTCGACTCGTCGCCGACGGTGAATTTGTCGCACACGTCCGGCACGTGCCTCATTTGCCGGCGTATAACGTCGTTCACGTTGTACGGTTTCGTATCGGCGTTCCTCTGATTTTTCCAAGGATTCTTGGATAACTTGGTTTTCTTCGTCGCCACTATCTGCACATATTTCAAAGTTACGTGACAGTTTAGCCGTGCCGCGGTTAAACGGGCCGATATTCTTTCGTTCTTTCTTTTGAATCGCGGACCAGGAAGGCGAGGGTTTAAGATACGGGCCAATTTAAATCGCGACAGGATCGAAAATTTACACGATCGATAAGCAATAATCCTCGTCTAATCCTCAGGTGTCAGGTCGTTAATTATATAACGGGGCAACGACGCTTTGGGTAACCGGTATCGTGATAGCGTTAATTAATTATAGTTATCGACCTGCCGCCGAAATTATTGGTCATGCATACGGAAACGTACGTTACTTGATAAAAACTCCCGTCTTGATAAAAACCATGTACGTGCCACGCTTTTTCCCAACAACGAACAAACCGTGCTCGATGGATCGCCGCGTCATCGTATCCATCTCCATCATCCCGCGAACCAGAGGATCGGAGAAGGCGAAAGGTTAAGAAACGTGGCACCGACTTACGTTGTCGAAATTTCTGGTGAAAACGACGCTCTTGTCGAAGCTCGGTCGTCTCGCCGTCGTCTGGACGAACGTCTCGCTGCCGGGCGGATTTATCCTTCGCCCTGTCTCGTCCACGCTGTTCGAAGCCACGGTCGAGTATCGACCATTCGACGTCTTCACCTTCCCCGTGTCGTTCTCCCTCAACGTTGCCAACGTGGTCCCCGCGTTCCCCCGCATTTCTATCCTCTCCTCCCCTTCCTCCCTGTCGGGGCTCGCGGTGGCGTTTGCCTTTGTCAACCCCTGCGTCCCTGTTTCCTGGGAATCGGAGGTATCCGCGTGGCTGGAAGTTGTCGTCCGGTCAAACTTTCCCATGGATTTCGTTTCCCCGGTTGTGCTTTCCTCCGTGGTGGAGGACCATGCAAAGGTCGTTCGGCCTCCCTTCCTCGCCTCGTGCGCGTCCCACAGTGACTCCTCCTCGCGCGTGGCTTCCGCGGCCGCCCCAGTCACTGAAACATTAACGACCAAACCTTGTTACCTGGATCCCGTATATTTATTTCGTACGTATTTTCTTAACGAATATCCGCCTCGAATATCGATCGAGAGTAATCTGATTCAGGCCTCCCGAATTTTTTCGTACGTACGAGAAATTTAAATATCTCTTCTCGACTTGCCTGGGTTAACTACCCGGGTGGGGTGCCTCGACGTCCGCAACGTCGACCTTAATTCTTGGAAAATTACATTCTGCCAAGTTAGGACTTCTCGCGCGTGAGAAGACGCAGAGGGAGAAGGGACGGGAGGAATGGAGGATGAATGGGGATCGCGAAATAATACGGTTGGAAATTAGTTTCCAAGGGGAAGAAAAATGGGTGGGAGAGAAGTTTTGGGAAAAATTCGAACGATCTCTCCTGGAGCGAGGGTTTGAGCTTTTTTTATTTTCAAAGTGGCGGCAACGCAGCGCCACTTTGAAATCTGGATCTGGATTTGACATCGGCCGACGCACAAACGAAGTCGAATTCCGCTCGATACGTAACTGGATTTGTCACGGACTTTGCGTGCCCGGTTTTCTCGAAAGGCCACCACCATCGATGGTGGCAACCCTCCCCTCCCCTCGAATTCATTCTCGTCTAGCGAAATTGCGAAATCGTTGAATGGGTCACGTCGAAACGATTCGAGCTCCTCGACAAAAAGGGGGAGGAAAAAAATAAACCGGTCTCTTTCGTATCGATATTTTAACGCGGAAATTTCAAAGATTTTCGCGCGAGTTTTATTTATTTTTTTTTCTTTTTTTTTCCCTCGAAATATTCTCCTCGCGTTGAAACGTATTCGCCGAAAACGTTTTTTGAAAATTAAATTTAAACTATCGAGCTATTTTCTGCTCGAAAATAACTCGTAAAAGTTGTATAGCTTGATGCGGACTGGATTTTTAATTTTAGGGGATAATGTCGTAATCGCGAGCATCGAGTTGGCGCTCGATGATTCATTTGAGAAAGGGGACGATAAAATATTCGAAAAATGGAACGTTCTGAATTTCATTAACCGTACTGGCCATATGTCATCTTCTTTCGCGGCCAGACCATCAATTTGCATCATTTATGGACGCACTCTTTCCCCACGAAATGCCGTATGAATGAACTCGCATCCCCGAACCGAGCTGCTCGTGGAACTTGCAAATTTGATTAGCAAACATTAGCACACGAGCGAGATAACGGTGAGTGTCTCCGACCGGCCATTTCTTTCTCCATCCCCCTCCCCTTTGCATTTCAAGGAGAAAACGTTATAACTCGAACGCGGACGTTTTCATACTCGTCCACCATTCGTTTGCTCGACGTTTGTTACTCGTGCTATCGCTTCAACGCGTCCGACGATCCGACGTTCAATTCATTCTTCTGTGTTCATAGTTGAAGGATGAAACACGAAACTCGGAACCGGTATAGAAAAACGAAAATGGAAAAGTTGCTTTTTTCCAGCCCTTTTCCCGATATCCAACCATCGTTCGTCACTTTGTCGTTTCGAACTCGTTATTATCTATAATAATTTATTACGTGACAATTTTTAAGCAAATTTGCTCAATTTCTCTGAAAAAGAAGATAATAATTTTCGAAATTCATTCGTGTATCGTGCAATTTCAATTACGCACTACTCTCGTAAAGATCTAAGCTTTCTTTCTTTTTCTTTCTTTTTTTTTTTTTTTTTTTATTGAAGTTACCACTCAACTCTGGTTTATGGTTGGAAACGCGACGTTTTCCAGGGGATCTCGAGGAGTTCTGGCGCGGTTGAAGCGTTTCCGTGGTTGATTTCCTCGCGCAAAAGCCAGAAGATGTATATCTTGCCACGTTGGCCACGTAAATCCGATCTTTTCGCTTGCAGTTTACCTTTTTCCCCTCTCCTTTTGCCGCCTCTTCTTCTTCTTCTTCTTCTTTTTTCTCTTCCGTTTAATGTCTCGGCTTTAAAAGCACGTTTCGTCTTCCATCGCTATGCCTCGAGGAAGAACGACTCGGCATTATCCCTCTTCTTCCGCGCGCCTCAGGGTTTTACCACGTTGTTTACGAGCGTGCTTCTTCTTCCTCTCTGCTTTTCATCTCTTTCTCTCGTGCTTCCTACGTGATCACCGCGTGTTTTTTTCTCCATCCCCGACCAGGAAATTGTTCCACTGGCGGGTGGATTTCCCGCTAAACGCCAACATTTTCATCTTTTAGTACTTGATCAATCCAGTTCCCACGGATGTGTGAAATAACCGCGCCCTTTTATCGTAGACGAGTTGGGATTCTAATATCGCTAATATGAGAATCGCATCGAATATCGTACGAATGTTTGTGAGTCGAAGAGCGAGCCTACGAAAGAAAAGTGTTTAGGGAATCAGATTTCTAAGACGTGGAAAAAATTTAAAAATAATACATCTTTTAATCGAGCGTAAGTTTGTTTCAATATGCCTTCTAATTCTTCCTATACTCATATATACTCATATATTATTGTTACTAATACCGTTCTTGATCCATCAAGTGACAATTCTATAACATTGTTCCGAGAATTGGCCGATTTATGAAACGTGAAAGATTGGTACGATAAAGAAAATGGCGTATATATATCGAGAGTATTGGANTCATATATTATTGTTACTAATACCGTTCTTGATCCATCAAGTGACAATTCTATAACATTGTTCCGAGAATTGGCCGATTTATGAAACGATTATGAAAGATTGGTACGATAAAAAAAATGGCGTCGAGAGTATTGGAATAAAAGAAAATAAAGTGATAATCCTTACGCTTATAATTATACAATATTATCTCGTTCCACGATATCTCTTAGCTGTGGGGCACAGTTGAATTCATTATTACAGTATTGCTCTACGTGATAATTCGAATGTATAATTCGCCAGGCCGGTTTAACTATTTATATTACCTGCCGCAATGTCAGGCCGCGTACCGGACTCGGTATTACCTTCTATTTATAATTTCCCACGGGATACCGGTTTGCGCAACGATCTGCGCCCGGCCGCGCCGCCTTCTTTTCTTCTTTTGTTAATCGTTTAATTTGCCGCCAATTCATTTTCCCGCCAATTCATTTTCCCTCCGCTGCTGGGCCGGGCTGCACGTGGTTCCGCCGCCGAACGTTTCGTTCTATTAATTGGCGACGCTCCGGGACTCAATTAACGGAACAACCGCGTGCAACAATTTAACACCGGCCCGTCGAATTATATTTTCCAAAATAAATTTTCCAAAATAAATTTTCCCGTCGTTTACGCGTTCCAGTTTTCTTTCACGGGAAAACGGAATCCCAATTACAACGATGACATTCGAATTACCTCTTCGACGAATAATGTCGAAGCAGTGGTTGTTTCCAACACCCGCAACAGTTTCGAGAAGTGAGCAGAGTCTTTTCGAAATTAATTTTTAAACGAAATGGGATTTAAATATATATATATATACGTGTTTCGAATTTTGGAATACGAAATGGACGAGTTGGAATGATCTTTGCGCGGATTAATCAATGATGCAATTGTAAAATGGAGACTTTTTATTAGATAAATTGGTTTAAAACGACTGGTAGTCCGTAGAATTTTCTTATGAAAGAAGCGGTTAATAATCCCGATGGTCTAAATTCACCGCGGAATGGATGAAAATTAATTAAATACGCGGTATGTATCGCGCATAACAACGCGTGTCATCAATATTTCAAAATTGCGTGTACCTAATTAAAACCGTATGAAAACACCGTACGAAATATGTCAGCCAAATATTTGCCAAATGCAAATTGTTTCAACATGCGAGTCTATAATTATCGATCCCCCGCGTATTTTTATTTATTCCTTTGATTAACGGCGAAAATCTTGCCGTTAAAGATAAATTTTTTTTTTTCAATCGCGGTTTAATTTAACCGTTTTATTAAATCGTTAAGATCGTTGATTTTGTCATCTGCCTTTACGCGCGTGTCGATCAAACGTGTCGTTGCAAGGGAAGAAGCAGTTTTATTCGAATAGCGAGAAATTTATTTGTTTGGCCAAGTTGCCGGGTTCCAGCTGCCTTTCCCAACCAATACTCGCGCAACGGTAAGCACTCGATGATATATCGAAAAAGTTTCGCGCCAGAAATCCTTTGGAATATAGGAATCTTTCCACGTCCTCGAGGATTCCCCTCCTCCGAGGATATATCGCTTTTAGAAATTCATATTTGAGCCAACGTTTCATACTCGATAAGTATTTTACCGATCTTCATCCCTGATCCCCGTGGCTCGATCCACGTCTGTTAAATTTCGACTCGAGTGTGTCTCGTGCCGTGAACGTGTTGGATGGCGATTAAAACTTGTTGCGCCACTAACGTTGAAACGTTATACAAATTGGAAACTTTGCTAACTCGCTCGAGAAACTAACATAGATTTACATCGCGCTGCAAAGACAAAATTTGCCGACCAACTTTCGACCGATTGTCTAGGATCAGATCCTCGCGCGGTGAAAATGGTTACCCCATTGAAAAATAATTTGGGGAATGTATCCATTTCTCTGGATTTTTCTTATGTCGATTAATTTTTCTCCGTTTAAAGAAAAGAAAATTTTGTAGTTTGAAATATTTTGTAATATTTTCGCTGCCTAATAAAAATTCTTTTGTCAATCGCGCGTTGCGTCGGATATCGAAAAATACACGGTGTGCGACGAGCACGTGAAAATTCTATTTTCTTAGCTTCAACGATGGACGCTATGAAATTCTCCCTGTAAAAAAAGGGCAACGTTGCAAGAGGGAATTGGTTCGATCGAATCGTACTCTCGAATAGCTATCGATGCAAATATTTGTATTTTTATTAAAAACACGATTATTATGTACGTAACAATTTGATATTGCACGCAATATCAATATCGTAGATGACGGGGATGAAGCATGGTGAAAAAAAAAAGGAAAAAATTCGATATTTACAACGAACGATACCTTTTTATACCGGAATAAATTTCGCAAATATCGATTTGTCAACAATCTCGATAGAGATCGATAGAGGATCGAGAATCAAGAAAATT